TTTTGATTTACGGTATTTTCTTATTATGATGTTTTGAGCTCTTTTGTGTTTAGAACAATGTATACTAATTTTTAAAGTATCAAATTAAATTGTTCAATAAAAATCTTTCAAATGTGACTGTAGCTTTTTTCCCCAAAAAACTTTGTCTTCAAAATAAGGGTGTGTCTTATATTCCAAAAAATACGGTAAATTCTGCTCATCTGACCCTTATTTTACTGTTATTCATGTTGCTTTATCTTATTTAAAATAATGTAACATAGCGCAGAAATGGGGAATTGTTTACACTGACCCTTTTTTATTTGGGTCTTTCAGAGACAATTCATTAAACATTAACATTTCTTATTCAGTTTGAAAACGTTCAAATCTTTACAATATCAGTCCGGGGTCGTATGGGCCATTAAGTACTTATAGTAAAGTTATACAATCACCACAACCTTACCGTAAGTGCTTACGTTATTGTTGAAAGTTTTATGAAATGTCTTCCTTTTTGTAGACACTTTTTATACATCCTCAGAAGTTATTGTATATTAAGTGTCAGTCACCTTTACAATGACAAAGATCATAGAATTGAAGACATCAAAGACTAAATGAATACACTTTTTCACCAATTACTTGAAATCTATCTTCTGCAAAGGACCGTTAACAGTTTATGTGTGTGTGTGATTATTTATTTTTCATTGTTGTTTTCATTATTTACAAAGCATTTCCCTTACCGCGAGTATCGAAACTCGATTTTTCAGTGTTATAATCCTTCAGACTTACCGCAGACCCGCCAGGGGGCCTTTTTATCCACCCGCAGGTCCAAATTTTCTTTAGGTAGGATTAGTATTAAAATTTTAAAGTGATTTGTTTGTGGGAGAATGAATGAACTCGGAAAGCAAAACAAAAAACAAAATTTGGTGTACACCCACACAAAACAAATGTGCCGAGGCTACAGTTGTCTTCGGAACAACATGATTACTGAGGCAGAAAGAATATGTTATCTTCATAAGACAAGAGGCTGCAGAATTGTATTAACTCAACTTTATTAAGTTCTAGCAAAGTATCCCACAATCCCACATTATCGACTTAAGTGATTATTCGCATTTTACATATTTGAGGGAATATTAATTTCCAGCTTACCATGTACAAACCCTCGTACCACCCCTACACTCTTAGCTCCCCAGGGGCGTTATGACAGAATACGGTGAAGTGCTCATAATCTTGAGTTTCTAGTTATAAATGTGTAAAATATAGCAGCTTCGATTGTTTTACAAACAGCAGAACTATTTTTTTTAAGTTGATATCGTAGAAATAAAAATTGTTAAAAGGAAACGGTACAAATAATAAACATCAATAAAGATAAAAACGGAAAAATCATTACAGATTAAAATCTCAACATTTTCTTGAAAAAAAGTGTTAATTTTGATGACAAACAAAAACAAACAAACTATTTCTTCTTCTCTCTGTATATATACCAGCAGGAAGAATACGGTAATTTAATGATTATTTCTCTTTGATATATTTAAACAAATGCTTATTTTAGTGTTTCATTAGTTTAAGTTTTAAAAATATTAAATTGTGCTTATTAAACACTAGCTGCAGCCCTTCACCATTGACAATAGAGATTCAATATGAAAAGTTAGTGAGTCCTTACAGAAACAATATCCTACTACTAATCAACTTTTAACGAACTTTTTGTTTTATATGCGACAGAAATTTAGGAAATTCGAGAGCTTATTGTCACAGATACCCAACAGCATTCTTTTTCTTTTCTTTTTTTGCACTTGCACATTTAGAAGTGAACCTATAGCAGAAAACACTTATAAAAGCTCTAAGTACTTAAATTTAATATATACATATATATAAATGTATCTTGTTGTTTTAGTATGTTAACTATCCTTGTTTTCTAACCTAATCTCATGGTTTATTAGTTTGTCTCATAACATCACGTTCCTTGTAAAGTGGGCCCGGAATGGCCAGGTGGTTAGGGAGCTCGACTCGCAATCTGCGGGTCGCGGGTTCGAATCCCCCTCACACCAAACATGCCTACCCTTTCACCCGTGGGGGCGTTATTATGTGACGGTCAATTCCACTATTCGTTGGTCAAAGAGTAGTCCAAGAGTTGGCGGTGTGTGTGATGACTAGCTGCCTTCCCTCTAGTCTTACACTGCTAATTTAGGGACGGCTAGCGCAGATAGCCCTCGTGTATTTTTGCACAAAATTCAGAACAAAACAAACCAAATCTTGTAAAGTGATCCTCGTCTAACCCACCCTTACACACTTCTGCAATCTTGTCAACCATTTTCCACAATGTACACTTCCTCTCCATCAAGCAAGGCTAGGCATAAGTATCTCCTGGTGTGTGAAACGATACACCAACTTATTATTTGGTGTAAAATTTATTTCTCAAGCTGTGTAACTAAAATAATTACTTCTTAAGGAGATTTTACGAAAACTTTTAACACAAATTCTCATGAAAATGACCTGTAATATTCCTCGATTGTAATGATTTCCTCCAAATGAAATTGCTTTAAAATGTTACAACACAGAAGTTAGCCCGTGAATATTGTAGAATGTAGAGCAGCAGTTCTCAAATTTTAGATCGCGGCACCCCCCCTTCCCCCAAAAAAAGATGATTATGATGTATGAGTGCTGGCTGTATTGCTTTTAGCGTAATCATGTTATCTGTTGCAGTAAATAACAACTCTGTTGCAGAGTACTTAAACAAATAAACAAAATATTTATTTAATGATAACAGAAAAAATTTTGTGCAATAACTATTTTCTTTTAGGAAAACAGTTTTTGTAAGGCTAGTTTGTTTACTTCTTCATTATTGTCAACAAATCATTCTGGTCTGTAACTAGTTTAAGCCTAACTTGGAGCTCAAATATTTTTGCAGAAGTGCCTGTTACACAACAGGGAAAAATTAGCGCTTCAGAATATTGTTGTTTTGTACAGACATACAGGGTAGTTCAAAAATTTTAAAATTATATATAATTTTAAAATTTAATAACTAAGGTAATACAACTATACAGTTTTCAACATTTTGTAGCCAAACTCAAACAGTTTTTACTGTCTTGTTGTTTTCCACTACAGTGACTAGTGTTACCCCGTCAAATGGCAATCGTACAAGCAAAAGGCTCAATGCGTCGATTAGCTTGAAGAGACCAATTTAATGACTGTTGTGCACCGTTATCACAGACGCCAGTACAGGAATGAAGTATGGGGTATGATCAAGGATATCATGTATTGCACACCTATAGCAAACA